TAAATCTACTTAGTGCAATTTGCCATCCGTTTGGTTTTAGAAAGGAAAATAATATACTGTATTCCACACTGACATAAGCAGGAATGAGCTTATTGGAAATGGAATGGACCTTACTAAATTCTCACCAGCCATGGTTTACAGCAAAGTAGGAAGGAAGAAAAACCAACAAACTCCTGTTCTGTGGCATTTGGTTTTTGCATCAGAAGCAAACTGTGAACAAACTTGGTGCAAAATGGAGTGTAACACTGCAGAGTATGCAGCTGCTCCAAGCATAAGAAAAAATGTCCTCTCCCAAGTAGTAGAAATTGTAATTTGGCCCGGCAGATCTGACTTACCCCTAATGGGGGCTACAGAGCACATGGCTGCCACAGGATCATGGATTGTGTGTTGTGAGGTGGGAACTTCTAGTCTTTTACTTGTTTTGCTGCAGCTAAAAATCAATGATCAGTGTTTCTTGTTTACAATATTACTCTAAAATGGCAATGAAATGGCTTACCCAGTTGGACATCAGCTGCCAGAGATCAGTTTCACTGATTTGTATCTGCTATCAGATTATTTTTAGAACTGCAACTTGGCATTTCTGTGAATAGTTCCTCCAGGCTCACAAGAGTGGAATCACAAAATATCTGTTCCCTTTGCTGAAGTGTTTTTATAATTTTATTAGAGCCAGGAGCAATGAAAAGTGAAGTCTTCTGGTACTGAACCTCTCATAAGGGACATCTGAGATAATTCTTTGTAAAACATGACTGTGTTTACATGGGAGACTGGATCAATTTTAACACTCGAGTATGATCTTTTCCAAAATAATTTTGATCCTGTTTTATAGTAGTGCTCTCCAGTTCCAAGATCCACTGTTTTTTTTAATCTTTGTTTTGATTTCCAGAGATCTCAAGAGCTGTTCTGCTTGTCTGCATCCACTTGTGAGTATTCTTTTTTTCCCTTAAAGCTTGCCTTTTTGGCACAGAAAATATAATTTTAAAAGTGCCTTAAAACAACCTTCCAATTTGCTGTTCAGAGTCACAACTGAACATATCAGGGTAGGAAGTAAATGGCTTTGTATCTAGCTGAAAATATAAGGAGACGTGGGAGAGGTCAAAAGTAATTAGGCACCCCAAGCACATAGCTCGTAGCTTTAATAAACACCAAGCACGTTGTGGGAGTGCAGAGGACGAGCAGTGGGGCCTCACTTGCTGCCTCTGCTCAAGGCAGCAGCTCCGTGCCTCGCAGCCCTGGCTGGGAGGGCGCAGGCCGGGCCCATGGGCTGCAGGGGAGGCTCGGGCCTCCAAGGCGCCGTGAGCCGGCAGACGTGGTCAGCATGAAAGGCTGTCTTTCTTTTTTCTCCACTCTGATCTTTATTCCCATGAGGTGCTTTAATTACAGGTCTGTGTAGTAAGAAGTCTCGTGTCTGTCACTGCAGACTGCTGTCCCTGCTCTGCTGCCTGAGGCGGGAGGTTTCTGTCTCCTGCTGTGGCCTTCCTGCAGCAGCTGCAGCACACCTGTGCCAGCGCTCATCCCCAGGCAGGGAACCCAAGGCATACAGCTTTCTGGTGGTATGACTTGCACTGCTTTAACTACAGCAGGGTGGGACAAATGCCCGCATTTTTTAGCAGTTAGTTTATACAACTGCACAGGGCTCAGTCACTGGGAGATGACTAATGGCATCCGGGGCTGCTCTCAGCTCTTACGGTCCCCGTTCCCTTTTCAGCTTCCCTATGTTCTTCTATACCAAGTAGCACTGTGCATTGCAGTCACGCTTTTAAAGCTCTGCGTGAGGGTGGAGGGGGCAGGAGCAGGATGTCTCCCTGAAGCAGACCTGTTTGGAGTGCTGCTGTTTCCCTCAGCCAGCTGGACAGTTTGTTCTCAAAAAAAAAAAAAAAAAAAAGAGCAGAGAAAAACTTTGTAAAATCCTGAAGTGGTTTCTGTAGAGGGGTGACACATCTGAAATGAACGTTCGTGTCTAGTCTTTAGCAAAGCCAAAAGGCAAAACCATAGGTTCTGTATGGGCAGTGGTTGTGAAATGAGCATGGAGGAACACTTGTACAGAAGGGAAGACCCGATGGAGGTTCGATGGGGAGAAGGAGAAAGGAGTTTGTCCTCTTGACTCGGTCCGCTGGGCAGCTCAGTGCCAGAGCAGCCTCCAGCTCCCCGCTGGTGGGGGCTGGTAGGCTTCCTGTTTGGACTGACTCGGGGGTGCTACCAAACTGTATTGCAAGGGAGAATTTCTGGTTGACTGTAATGCCTATTTCTGTACAAACGTTGACCATTAAATATTTTGTGCACCAGCATACTTTCAGGACAGATTGCCAGTCATCCTCAATCGATAACACGTCGCAGCACTTCCTGGTGTGCTGAGGGACCTGATTGTGCTGAGTCTTCCCAAAGCCCCAGTTCAGATCCAGAACAGAGCTCCTTTACTTTTTAATTGGAAAAAGCTGCTCTTGTTCATCCGGAGTAATGTCCACACAGCTGATAATTCTAAAATAATTAACCCAGGATGTTTTATTCTAACACAGCTCTTCTGATTTATTTTTTGTCATGAGTATAGGAAAACAACCTGAGAAGATATGCTGAAGTTGATTGACGCTAAAAGGGAGAAAGAGAATGTTTCTGCAGACTTTTTCCTCCCACAGAACTCTTGTCTGAGAGGATAGAGTATACTGATGGTGTAATTTATTGTAATTATGCACAGATGTTACTTAGATCCAACTTGCAGTAAATTAAGCTGGTAGAAACTGCTTATTGCAAAGTAATGTTGAAGTCCCATTTAGCTCCTCAGCACTGGAATGTGCCGAATTTTGCTTGGAGTCAATCTGTATTGTGGGTGAGCTCCCAGCCAAGGAGTTGATGGTACTGGGCATGGGATCAGGCACTCACCTCTACTGCCACCAAGATCAAAAGTGCTTCTGTATAAAAAGAGTTACTTTAAATTAATTAAAAAAAAAAAAAAAGCATACTCATTTTGTGAGGCAATTAAGAGGAATAATAAGATTGTGGTAGTGTACTGAATAAAGGAGTCTGCAGTGTGCTGTTTTGCAACTTATGGCAAGCTGGGAAAGCAGAAAATGGAGTGGTGTGCTACAGCTTGTAAGGATCTGCTGACAGGGAGCTTTGTGCAGCCACATGGAATTGGTGGGCACTGTCTAGATCATGTATGCCTGATGCACACAGATCTTTTTTTCCTCCCAGACCATAGGAAGACATTGGAACAGTGACAAACTGAACTCCTCTAGAAAATAAGGCAGCTGAGTGTTCCGTGCATCCAATTGGTTCTTCTTGGTGAAACAGCAGAGAGTCCCAGTGCCAAACTGCTGGGAAGAACCCTCGCTGCACACGGCATGCAGTGATGCTGGGCTGCAGGAATGGTGAACATAAAATGTTGGAACTGGAGAAGGGATGCGGTTAATTCTGATAGTTGTTATTTGGTAAAGCTTATATTCTCCAGACAGATACGGTAATGTGTTCTGCATTTGAGGGTGAGCTCTGAACTGTCTGGTAGTTGTGTAAGTAGTCGGGATGCTGCCCAGTGCTTTGATCAGGCTGCTGGCTCCAAGGAGACAAACGTGTAGCACTAACACTTGTTTGCTGGACAGCGAGGGGGGCGTGGATCAGCCTGGTCATCCGGCGTGCTACAGAGCTCCTCGCTGCATCTGTAAAAGCCAAAACGAGTATTTGTTTTTGCATCGTTAAATAGAGGTGGTACAATGGAGGCACCATGTTAGGGTCTGCTTTTCAGAAAACCGCTAAGCTACGGTAAACACAGCAGTCCCGTAGATGAGCAGGTGCTGGTAACATGACCTGGAACCGAAAGTGAAATTGTTTCTAGCTGGCCAAGTCCTAAGAATAAATAAGGAGAGGGAGGCGCACCGTCCTCCTGCCCCGCTGAGCAGCCTGGGGGCCCGCTCGGGGTTTGTTTCCCTGGTACTCGGGGGTGCGCGACCGGCAGGCACCGCCGCTGCTCGGTTCCGCCCGGCCGAGCGCTGCCTGCCGATTCTCGGAGCCGGGTTTCCCCAGCCCGCCCGGAGCTGCGCGGCTGCTGCAGCTTATGCCGCCGGGCCGGACGGGCCCCGCAGCGGGGCGGGCGCTGCAGCCGGGCGGGGCGGGGCGGGGCGGGCCGAGGCCAGGTGGGGCGCCGCGGCGGAGCCGTGCGGGTGCCGGCGGGAGCCATGCGCTGGGAGCGGACGCTGCTGCTCCGCACGGCCAAGGTAGCGGCGCCGCGGGCGGGCTGCGCTGGGGGTCGGGGTCGGCCGGGCCGCGCTCGGTGGCGCCGAATGAACCGCATTGGAGAACGGAAGGTGTCACGGCTCTGCTGAACTGCCGGGCTGCTTTTCTTTATCCCAGCCGAGGGGAAAACTTCAGCGCTTACTCTGGTTACTTAATATGGTTCCTTCGTGGTGAATAGTTAAGCTTTCAGGAAAAAAAAGTTTCTTTGAAACTTGTCTGTCCTCATGCTTGTAGGTGCCCACTCGCTCCTGTTGCTGGCTGCACATGGCATGCTGAGAGCCTGAGGTCTCAAGTTTGCTCTAAGCACTGACCTTTGTAGATCTTTTGCTTTTTGATAACTTCTGTTACTGTCTTGCTTTCTGGTAAATACACGAAGTGCTGGGAATTACTTGGACTCACTATATACTTAGGCTGCACGGTTTTTCTCTTTCACAGTTGCCTTCTCTCTCTTTCTGTTCCGTTGCTGTCTGAGCTGTGGCTACATATCAATACTTTGTAGGTACCAGTCTGTGAACCAGGATTCTCTGTCTTGCTCTGGCTGCTCAGGGCCATCAGCTGACTTAAGCATTTGAGAGTTTGCCCTTTTTCTCATCTTTTGTTGGATGTCTGTAAAAAGTGTGAAGCTTATGTTTTACTTTTAGAAGATCAGTTTATTGATGCTGTACCTTGGCCAGCTGAACAAAGGTGCATTTTTGCGGACTTACATCCTTGTCAGTTTGATTGGTACGAAAAAGAACAGCTGGACTTTAGTGTTCACATTTATCTTTCTCCTTGTCTAGATTGAACGACTGGAAGTCAGCAGCCTAGCACAGACCTCCAGTGCAGTGGCCTCAAGCACTGATGGCAGCATCAATGCAGACTCTGTCGATGGCACCCCAGATCCGCAGCGTACAAAAGCCGCCATCACACACCTGCAGCAGAAGATACTGAAATTGACCGAGCAGATCAAAATCGAACAAACGGCCCGTGATGACAATGTGGCAGAGTACCTGAAGCTAGCCAACAATGCAGACAAGCAGCAGAGCGCCCGCATTAAGCAGGTGTTTGAGAAGAAGAATCAAAAGTCTGCCCAGACGATCTTGCAGCTGCAGAAGAAGCTAGAACATTACCATCGAAAGCTGCGAGAAATCGAACAAAATGGGATCCCTCGGCAGCCAAAGGATGTCTTCAGGGATATGCACCAGGGATTGAAAGATGTTGGAGCGAAAGTCACTGGATTCAGTGAGGGAGTAGTAGATAGTGTTAAAGGTGGGCTTTCCAGTTTCTCCCAAGCCACACATTCAGCAGCAGGAGCTGTGGTTTCCAAACCCCGGGAGATTGCCTCTCTCATCAGGAACAAGTTTGGGAGTGCGGACAATATTGCTAATCTGAAAGACTCCTTAGAAGAAGGCCAGGAAGATGGGACAGGAGGCAAGGCTCTAGGTGTTATCCAGAACTTTCAGTCAAGCCCAAAATATGGCAGTGAAGAGGACTGCTCCAGTGCTACGTCAGGCTCAGTGGGAGCCAACAGCACAACAGGGGGCCCTGTGGGAGCTTCCAGCTCCAAAACAAACACTCTGGATATGCAGAGCTCAGGGTTTGATGCAATACTACATGAGATTCAAGAAATTCGAGAGACACAGGCAAGACTGGAAGAGTCATTTGAGGATCTTAAGGTTCGCTATCAGAGGGATTACTCATTAATAATGCAGACTTTGCAGGAGGAACGGTACAGGTAAGTACTTTTTTACTAGTTTCCATATTAAATGCTGTGGGTGTAGAGCACAAGAGTCCTGGAGAACAGTGCTCAGCAGCCTGGTTCAGGTGGGATGCTCTGCAGTCAGTTTGGGATTTTGCTTTCCTAATACTGTCTTTTGTAAATATCCTTATTCTGCTGCTCATTTTCCTCTCTCTACAAGAAAGGAATAGCAAGAATAAAGGTCATTTCATACTTTTTTCCTCATAAGAAGTCAAACCAAAGAAGTTAGAAAGGTGTCCCCAGGAAACAGGAGTACATTGGTTACTGTTAGCCAGGCAGTGCTTTGCCCATGAAAAAGCCTGTGAAGGTCTGGGGTAAGGCAGGGTTCAAGTGGATTCAAGTGAATAGTATCCTGACCCTGACCTTTCCAATGCTCAGAGCTGTGAATCTACAAGGGAAGAACATATCCAGCTTTCTTAGTCTATAAAAATATGTGCTTTTCCCTTATACCAAAACTAGAATTTACATTCTTGGCTCTGCTCCACAGTGGCAAAGTTCAAATAACTGAAGGTAAATGGAAAGTTAGCTAATGGCAATGTTCTTGTCATGGAGGTAACATGGCTCTGGAGGTGGACCAGCCCCATGCTTTGGTCACTCTTTGCCTTGCTGTAAGGACTGGGGAAGCAGTGAGGCTGCTGCCACAGTGCCAGTTTGCAGCACTGCAGGATATATAGAATCCCCCTCATCAGAGCAGAGGCTGCTCCCCAGCTCCACAGGGGCAGGAGGAGGGGATAGCTAGAGGCTGCCTCTCTGCCAGGCCCCCCCAGGACACCACAGCCTAAATGCAGTGTGAGTCTTCTAGTGCACTTTGAAAACTTTACATGAAAAATGCAAGGGACCCAACTCCTCATTCTGATAGAGGACAGCAGGCTTTTGTGAAAAGCTTGTTTGTGGCCTTCATCACTTAGACCAGGCTGGAAAGCCTATGAGGCTCAGCACACCTGTCAGGTTTGGGGACAGGCTCTCTGAAGTACTCTGTGCCATTTGCTGCCTCAGTTTGATTTGCTCCATGCTTCATAGTCACTCTACAGCTTTTCAGACGTGCCGGTGCCAGATCATTGGAAAAACATTTGAAAAGGCTTAGCCTGCTGGGATGTTGTAGTGACAGCAAGCTTTCTGTGTGTTTTGCAAAGCTTGGCTAGACAAAGCCAAACCAGCATCACTTTCTAATTCCACGTCGCCACAGTCAGCAATTTGAGTGAAACCAGAGCCCAGCACAGCAACTTTGGTTCCTAGTACCTCACTGTCATCAGGTCACATTGTGAAGAGAAGGGGAGATAGCGCTTCCTCTCCACAGCAGAGAGGGGTCTTGTTTGGTGCTGTGTGGGTTGTTGTTTTGCACATACAGCAGCAGCCATTCATAGTGGAACGCTATATGCAAGCACTATGCAGCTGAAGGAATGGCCTGAAACTACAACAAAGGAGCTTGGCTGGGGACTAATGTGTGTTGGCAGCTAAGTGGACTAGTATTCCCTGACAGTGTTCAGCAAAGTTCACAGAGGTCCTTCTGTGAGCCCAGCATGAAGCCCTGAGGGTAAATCTAGCATCTACCCTCTAAAGCAGCCTGGAGTGAAGAACTTTCAGGAGAGTCTATATTTGATATATATACAGACAAAAATACGGTGGTTGAGACTTGCCATTGGAAAGCTGATGCAAATTAGTGGAAGGTGTGACCTCTAGAGAGGACTGGTTGAACTACGCTAAGTGCTCTGCAGGCTTTCAGAAATGAGCAGGTAACACAAGGAGCTCGTGTATTAATACATGGAGTGAAATTGTACGAGTCTAGGTTCTTGTTTGACAGCCTCATTTTTTAAAATATCAGGAAGATAAAAGCCAGGAGGGCAGTGTGACGTGTGACAGCAGAGAAGATGTTCCTGTCCTGTGTGGAAAGCTGGCACTTGTTCCTCTGGCCATTAACCCTTCCTTTCCTTCAGAAAAAGAAAGGAAAGATGGAAGTGGAAGCTGATGTTCAAGATGGGGGACTCAAACTAATCATAGCCTGCCTTTGAAAGCTATTAACGCCTCGTAACTCTGCTGTATTTCTGGATGCTTTCAAAAACAAGCACTGAGCCCGAGTTCGAGTTTTTAAAAATGTGTATTTTAGAGAAGCCTTTGCTAATAGGGCTATGTGGAATATTTGCATCATCTGTGTAAACTGGAAGAAACAAAACAGATTGTGATGTTTTCTCATCCAGTCTTGGTCCGTTTCCTTGTTCTTAGATGTTCTGCTTTTCTGCAGGTTCTACTGTGTTTTGTCTGCATACTCATTTTGTTTCTGCTTATCAGCCAAGGTTCTGACTCGCTGGTGTTCCTTGACCTGCTCCATCTGCCTCCCGTCCCCATTCAGCTCTCCTTGTCAGCACAGCTGCTCTGTCAGCCATCTCCGCAGGCTCCACTGGTGCAGCCACCCCAGCCCTTGGCCCAGGGGATGCTGGAGCGGCCTGGCAGCACCCGGGAGCACGTGTTGGCAAAGGGTGGCCCCACGGGTCGTGGAGGCAGGAGGACTCTGGCCTGCACCTTTGCGCTCACTGTGTTGCCTCCATGTTGGGAACGGGCCCTGCAGCAGCCTGCTGCTTATCTCAGCAGTTGGAAGGTGGCAGTTGTTTACTGATATGAGCAGGGACTTTCTGTGCTATTGAGACTGACATAAAAGTTCCTGCTGAGTGTTTTCATCTTTCTTGTCCCTTCAGGAACCTGTTTGTACACAGTAAAATAATGAGCTCATGCGATTGGAGTGTGGCCACCCTGAGGTCTTGGGCTCCTTCCCAGCCCGGCATCCTTGGAAAGTGTGTTCTGATCCCCCACGTTCCTGTCAGAGAAATCCATCAGCTGAAATGCTGGGAGCTCACACTATCCTTGCTGTCATTTTGTTGTTGGGCTTCAGTCTGTTCTCATTTATTTTAAAATAGATCAAGTGTGCTGAAATTCTGGGACTGGAAGATTGAATGGTACAAGCTAGGGCAGCGAATGCTTTGTGCTCAACATAGAAGGATCTTCACCCAAGTATGAAGCATTGAGATGTTTACACAAAGCTATTTTCTCTCACCAGAGGAGGTCTTGAAGCTGGAAGCACAGCGTGAACAGTGACACAGAGCAGCTCTGCCCCTCGAGCGTTGCTTAGGTAGAAGTCTTGGAATATGCTGCTAATAGGTATTGCTTTTAGCTATACTGCTCTGCTGTTGGAAGCAGTGTGTTCAGCAGCACGAAAAACGTACTTGAGAAGTGAAAGTTGGGTGATGTTCTGTAGGACGTGGCCCCTCCCTCCACAAAAATGGTATCTCGAGAGCTGTTTGAAGAGATACTAAAATACGGTTGTTTCTTTTTAAAGAAACAGGATTTAAGCTGCTTAGCAACAGCTGTTTTGTGAAGGGTGTTTATGTAGGAGGTTAAAGTATATACTCATGGTGTTTTCAGAAATGGTTTAGTTCCTTTTGGTGTGAAAACCCACTGGAGGACTTTAAAATACATTAACAAATGGAATATGTTTCAAGTGATCTGTGCTGCCTTTGGGACTCCTGAGTGAGTTTGGTTGTGCTTTCTTGGTTGATGGCAAGTTTTGTGTGGTTTTCTGTTTGTTTGTTTTTAAATGAGGTGGAAACAAATGGCAACGTTAATTATCTGAGTTCCTCCTTCATTAGCCAGTCTTCACGTGGCTGCTCTCATGCTCAAGCTTGTAGTTCCTGGGAAACCAGTTCCCTCGTGCGCCCTGCTGCAGTGGCACAGCAGCCCTGGCACCTCAGGGTCAGCTGGGTTCTGTCTGGGGCTCACTGCTGCTCAACCACTTGTTGGAAACTGCTCTGCTGAGCCCGACTCCTCCTTTTTACTTTAAGTAACTGGAGCATTGAGAATGTGAAGGAAAATTCGCTTCAGACTTTTCAGTTTAAAATAAAAACCCCAAAGCATTGTTCAGTACTAGCTTATGCCTATGGATTCTGAATATGTAGCTCATGAAGCACTGAAAAATTGGGGGTTGGGGGAAGCAGAATTTTTGGTTTACTTTCAGAACTTAAATTCTCATTTATAGAGAGGTGGTGCTTATTTGTTTTATGTGTGTATATATGTACATCAATTAAATTAGGGTTGGGGTCAGAGGGGGACAGAAATTAAGGAATTATCTGTGTTGAAATCCGTTCAGATTTCTCTGTTAGTAGTATCAAGAGCAAACGATAAGAGCTGTACTTTAAACTTTTTCCAAGCTGTTACAGTGGACTCAATCAGTGGAAATCAGAGTGGGAAGAGCACGGTGGCTGCAATAGTTGTACCTGTACCTTCCTTGCCATCAGGGCATTGCTGATAACGGACCAGGAATGAGGAAGCACAGAGGAGAAGGCTGGTGTGTCGGCTGTTCTCAGCCCTGGGCTGAGCTCTCTTCATGTTTACCTTTGGGAGCAAGACAAATACTTGCTTGATTTTTAAAGCATATTGAAACATGAGTTGCTAGTAAAGGGCTTGAAATTCCAAGGGTGAAGTGCTGCATACAAATACAAAGTATCCCTAATGGATTTTGAAGATTCTGAAATGAGGTGAAGCTGTTGCTGAAGTCGGTTTAAAACTCTCTCAGAGAGAAATGAAGCTTTCTCAGAAATGTCATCAATACTTTTCTGAGCAGCCCTCTTGTGCCAAACTGCTCTCAGACTGCTCAACACAGCAAACTGAAAAATAAGCCTGCAGTTCAGTGATTCGTATGTCCTTCTTTTAAGTAATACAGTGGTCTTTGCTAGTTAAGCTGAATCATTTGCAAGAGATTAAAAATACATCAATAAATCAGACTTCTGTGCAGTCTCATGTGTAAAGACTAGAAAATGCTATCATGTTCTCCAAGGCATATAACTGCATATAATTTCATTGTCATTTTTATTGCAATTACTTTTCAGGCGTAGAGGAAATTGCTTAAGAGTTTATAGTGTTAGAAGGGAACTTATTCAGGTTAAAACAAAAGTTTGAAGAATAAATATGCTAATTCTGCACTTGATTTGTTCTATCTCTTTACAGTCGTCATTTCTGCTCTCTGCTTGTTTTTCCCTGGCTCAAAACAAGACTAATGCTATCTTACCTGGTAGAAGGGCTTTCTTGAATTCCTGCTGGAAGGGCCTCACATTGTTTATAAAGCAAAATTCTGTGGGCACAGCCATTTTTAAATGACAAGTCTGTCACTACTCAGTTGTTACTGGTCTAACAGTTGCCTCCTTCTTCTCAATAAAGCTGCTGTACCATGTCATCTCATTTCTAGATGTGAAAGACTCGAAGAGCAGCTAAATGACCTGACTGAGCTCCATCAGAATGAGATCCTGAATCTGAAACAGGAGCTGGCCAGCATGGAGGAGAAAATTGCCTATCAGTCTTATGAGCGAGCCCGGGACATCCAGGTGGGTGACAGAAATGGGAGCACTGAAGTCTGGTCTTCCACCTGCTCCCTCGGTAACTGTTTTTTAAATACTTCTTTGATTTGGAATTTGTTGTAAATCACCATAGATTTATTGCTAAACTTTACGCTGAAGATTTCCGTAAGATCTTTATTCAGTCCCTGACCCCCAGATATCTCCCCAAATAATTATTTTGCAATGAAAGGCTGTGCACATTCAGTGAGCGAATTCATCCTGAGGGGACCTCCACTCGTTCAGAGAAGGGTTTTGAAATGGCTGGTAGCACAGTGGAAGCCTGCATTCACTTTTTATACTGGCTCGATTTGCAGGGTTTTGTTTGGATATTGGAAATTAATGGTCTCTGACCTGAAGTTTTGTTTTTTATTGTTGTTTTTTTCTTTTTTTTTTTTCAGTAATGTTCCCAGTGAACTCATTTGGGATGCATTTCTGTGTCATGAATTTTAGAACAGTCACCAAAGACATCTCAGGAAAAATACAGTTGGCTTTGTGTATCCACTGCATTTTGTCAGCAAACAGTTATTTCCGTTGGTTTGCCCAAATACACAGTTAGTTTTGAAAGAAAGGTTTCTTCAGTGTTTTAAGGACCAAAGCTAAGGATAGTCTGTGCGATGGGAGGGCCTTCCATAGGCAGACACAGAGCAAAGACCTGGGCAATGATCTGAGCAGCAGCTGGACCTTGTCAAGGCCTACTCAGAAACAAATCTGTCATCTATTTTAAATTCTTTTCGCATTTGCTTTAGCAGGCATCTCAGCGTAGATAACTGATGTGAGATATTTATAACGTGAGTGGAGAACTGTAGGTCAGAGTTCTCCCTTTCCTCCTCTGAAGGAGTTCCACCCAGGTGAGACAAGGCAGGCCTGGCTTGTGGCACTGGTAGGTTCAGCTGCAAGGCGAGTTGAGTCAGTGTCCGTTTTGGGGTCCTTGCTTCTTGCAGGTGTTGTTCGGTTACCTGTTATCTTCAGGTGGCATAACTAAAGAGAAGCCCTTGTGCTTCATTGGCTTCCACAGATGATACACAGAGGCAGAGAAATGTAACAGATGGCAGTGACCTTTAAGTTAAGTTCAACATAAATCAGTGTCTGTGGCCTCTGGCAGTAAACAGCAGTCTCTCCCTTTGGGAAATGTTGCAATATTCACATTTTATCCTCCTTTCTAACTTCAGCAGCAGGAAAAGTTGAGGTTGGAAACTTAAACTGAAGAGGGATATTCTCAATAGCTTCTTCTATTCTTCATTCCTTGGCTCATCACTTTTAGTATAAACTTTAGTACGAATACGGACCGGCTGTTCCACAGCACTGCTGGGGGAACGATAAATATTCAGTTTTCTTGCATGAAGGAGCAGTGGGGGGCATAGGCTGGTGCTGCAGAGGAGCAGCAACAGAGCTTGGTCTGCAGGCACAGGTCCTGGTTCTGATTTGATCATCAGTCTGGGGGACATCGCTGCTCTGCTCAGACTTCTGACTCTTACCAAAGTCAGCATTCAGGTCCTGGGAAAAGCAGACCAGAGGGAGCATTGAGGGCGAAATTGTAACTTCATATCTCTGCGAGCAAATTGCCTTAAATTCCCCTACTTGTTCTAACCCACTGGCTGTTGGTGGTGGGTGTGTTGGCCAGGTGTGGTAGCAGCTACTTCTCCTGGTTGCCAACTGGGCAGCCCCAGCCCTGCATCCTCAGAGCTTTCCCTGGGCTTGTTCAGCTCAATAGCCAAGCAGGATGCAGCTGAGCCTTTTCAGTTAGTTGTTGCTGTTTCCTTAGTATTGTGCCAGATTGAATAGAGGGTTGAATGGGAGTGAGGTGAGCACAAACCAGAGGAAAAAAATGATGGAAATGAGAGGCTCTGGGAACACATAGGATGAGGAGTGCTGGCAGAACACAGTGCCTTCATCCCCTCAGGGGTCTCTTGAAACAAACTGAGATGGGCAGCCCTCCTTTCAAGTAGGTGAAGTCTGACTGCTTGCTGAGGGCTCTGTGTCTTCCTTCCTATGGATCTGACCACAAAACAGGGAGGGTGATAAGGCCTCTGCCCTGTGCGAGGACAGACAGCTTATGTGCAAAGCGTTGTAACAGAGCCTGGCTTCTGCCAAAGCTGTCACCTAACGCCTTCAAGATTTATTCAGGGAAACGAGGTCACACGGTGTCTTACACACTGCTGCACTTAGTTGGTGAGGGCTCCTCAATCACGTGAAGTGGCACCGCCTCTTCTCCTGCTGCAGGATATGAAATCAGCATCGTGACATACATCCTGCAGAAGGTGCATGAGGAAGGTGGCCCTGCTGTGGTTTGGTTGCTAAGATGAGCCCTGGGCTGCTGCAGCATCAGCCCGTGGGGCGCTGGAACCGAGCGGTGTGTTCTTATCTACAGGAGGCCCTGGAAGCGTGCCAGACCCGCATCTCCAAGATGGAGCTACAGCAGCAGCAGCAGCAGGTGGTGCAGCTGGAGGGTCTGGAGAATGCCACGGCCAGGAACCTGCTGGGGAAGTTTATCAACATCCTCCTGGCTGTCATGGCCGTCCTCCTTGTCTTCGTCTCCACTGTGGCCAACTGCGTCGTGCCCCTCATGAAAACTCGCAATAGGACGTTCAGCACTTTATTCATAGTGGTTTTAATTGCCTTTTTGTGGAAGCACTGGGATGCCATCTCTGGCTACTTGGAACGGTTTTTGTCTCCCCCCAGATGATGCCATGAGGAATCGGCTGCATCGCCCCCTCCCAGCACACTCGGTGAGCAAGCGTGGCAAAGATTAGTCAGCAACTACTCCGCTGAAGTTTTAAAGTGTCTGAGTGAATTTGTTTACATTTAGAATAACGTTTTTTCTCTGCGAGATGCATTGCAATAGTATTTTTTAGATTTTATTCAAGAACTCTTTTTGGCGAGAATCCCGGATAATTTTTATGTAGCATGGTTCTCTTTGGATGCAAATCTTAAGATTCTTTAAAGTGTACAAAATAAATAAAATACCGAAATTTGGAGCATACCAATGGGCAACTTAAACTGTGGCTTGAACTACTGTACTAAACCTGTCAGGAAGAGGAAGAATGTGATTAACTTAAGATGAGCAAAACTAAATGTAGTGCACGCAACCTTGAGGGATGGTACCACAGCAAACCTGTAACACTAAACTTTTACTGTGAAGTCTGCTCACATTCCATGTCCAAATGTATGGGTTTGGAGTGGTTTCTTTACAAGACACCAAAACAATGTGTGGATCTCTTTCCCGACTCAGCGTCGGGTTTGCCATTCGTGCTGACCTGACTGAACAGTGACTTTCTATAAGGCTGGTTAACTTTGCTAAGCATATGAAGTGGAAGCCTTGTGCCACATACAGAAACTGCACAGTCATGCTGCAGTATTTTGAAGTAGTCCTTGAAACGCTTACCTTTAAGCAAAGCCCTTGGTCGCACTTTTAAGGTTTTTTTTTAATGTATGTATATTCACAGATTTAAAAAAAAATCCAAACAGCATACTTGAAGAGTGTTATACTCAAACTCTCAGTGCTTCCTTATCGTTTCTAATAGGATTTTTTATTATTATTATTATTATTATTATTATTATTGGGTTCTTGGTTTTTGTTGTGGTTTTTTTTTTTTTTAAAGGGGTTGGGAGGGTCATTGCTTTTTTTTTTTTTTTTTTTTTTTTTTTTTTTTTTTTTTTTTCCTTTTAAATAAAGAAGTGATGTTTTTAAATGAAGAAATGCGTGAATAATTGTAAGCTGTCTTGTCCTGAAACAGTTTTGAGGAGGACAGACGGTAGTTTCTAGTGCCATCCTGTCTGGAACACAGTGCTGTTCATACGCCATTTCTGTCCTCCTGAGCACACAGATGCAGCATCAGGAAGAACATCCATCCTCTCTGCACTTTCTTGTCAGGCAGGTGTTTGTTTTTTTTTTTCTTTTTCCAAATGTGAAAGAGAATACGTCTATATTTCTTGCTTCAACATCATCTTTCATTCCTGGCCTCGGGTTCAGAATAGGGAATTTCTTTGCATACCTTCCTAGGCAACATTCTTTTAAGAAAAGAAGTGCTGAATCAACAGTCTGCTTACAGGAATGATTGCCTCAGAAATATTCCTGATTCAGTTTTTAAATAAACTCCTAAGGAGTGAAACCAAAGTTTTCCTCCTGTCAGGCTCTAATCAGATCATCTGTGTAGAGATTAGTAGACTGTATCTGTATAGTGTGCCATAGACAGCATCCTCTTCTTTGTCTGTGAGGGCAAGCACTTGTGTAGGTACACTGTCAGAGCTCTAAAGGAAATGTCAGCTTCAGCCGTACCCTCGCGGGCCCAGCAGTGCCGCTGCTGCTGACGGCTGTTGGCACTGGCAGGCAAGGCCGCACGGCGAAGGAATACGGATTCACTCTGTTTTCTTTGAAGTTTGGTGCCCCTTTCTGGCGTTAGAGTGTCAGCATACAGCTTCCATCTCCATGAAATGTTAACAGGCTCCAGGAGTCTTTCAGCACTGTTTGTGGTGGTTACTCAGATGTGCTGTTATTCTTCCCTCCAGGTTTGTGTTCTCTCTAGGAACTAAATGTTGCTCAGGTGACCTAGACCAGTTGAGATCATACATACACTTACATGGAACATGTGCATTATATATACTGTACTTGTATATGTGTATATGTGTGTGTGTATATGTATATATGTATATATATGTGTGTATGTATATATATATATATATATATATATATAATATATGCCATGCTGTGATGCAAATTCTGGCCTCTAGAAGTTCCCCTGAACTAGGTTAACTGGCTGCTGGCCGCTGTAAGCCCTCCACAGCTCACCCATTCTTCGGAGATTCTTTGTGTGTTTTCCATACTCACAAAAAACTCAGGTACCCTTGCAGGGATCCCAGCACGCCTGCCTTTGTCACTGTATGCACTAATCTGCTCCTGTCGTGCTTCAAGTGCAAATTGCCAATTGCAGTTCCTTAAGCCAAAAAGAATCGTTCTTCTCACAGAGCTGCAGACAGAGCAAAGGTTGCATAACTGTTCCCCCTCTGGACAGTTCTTCTGTTTACCATCCTTATCTGGCTGGTACAGATTACATGGATAATCATCTTCTTCCGTTAGGTTTTGTCAGAAATAACAGCATGAATAACAGTGAGAAATAATTTGGTACATAACAGAAAAGCGTTGTTGCCTTTATTTGTGGTTCCTGGCCTCTGCGCCTCTGTTTTCCTCTGTTTTGGTCACTCTAAAAGAGCTCACGGTAGGTTTTCCTGTGGTCAAAGCAGGAGGCAATTGGAAGCCAATGGATTTGGAGGCTCAGTGCCACTCATCTGTAGTATCTGAAGGCAGTGATTGTCTTTCTTCTTTATATCCTAACTTCATTTAGTGTCTCAACTGTGTCACGGTCAGTAAATGCCGTCTGCTGATTTGCCAGGTGTAGGCTTGATAGAAACTGATCACCTCAAAACTGTTTGGCGAAGGCCACAGGTGTGTGGCTCTAGGCTGCGTCTGTCTGTGTCTCTTTCTCTCTCGACACTTTTTTTCCATTCCAGAAAGTCATCTGCAGTAATGCCACATATGATGCTGCATCCACTTTTCTTATCCTAATAGGACTGCCGTGTGTTTTGCCTTTTGCGCTAGCAGAATGTTTTGGGTTCCTCCCTCTTCGATTTGAAGGTCGGTGACGATTTCTGATAGGTTAACAATGATTATATTGTTGGAAATGTGATTCTAGCTTTAAGGCTCCCTTTCCCTGTAAGTGGTTGTGTTTGCTTTCTTGATTAAGCATTCCTGGATGATGCGTAGAAGAGTACGTGGTGTGGGTGTGCACGTGTGAGTACCTTTTGTGGGCCTCCTTATGGACGTACGCTATTTCAGTGACCATCTCTGAGTTGCAGAATGTTTTCCCCAACATTTCCTATTCAGAGTTGGAACAATTCTGGAATTATTTGGATGTGTTTAGCGCATATCAACTTGGGATGTGAAAAGGGAAGAATGCAATGGACTGTGGTAGTTGGGGAAGCAGCAGCTCTTCAGAGAAATTCTGAGGTTCGAGTGAAGTTCATCTGTTTTTTCCTATTTGTTTTCTCAATGTAAAAAAAAAAACCCACAAAAAAGTCGTCTTGATGCAAAAAATGGCTGGTTTTGATTTGATGAATTTCCCTTTCCTCTCAGCTTCATTAGTTTAGTTTAATGATACTGAGCATGCAGATACAGCAATGATTTCATTGGTTTATTCCAGTCCTGTGAGTTTTAGGGTCTGATCAGATTAATTATTGAGTTCTGTACATGTTGCACTGGGACAGAAAAACACTGTCTTTCAGCTTTGACAAATATGCATTTTTTTAAATTAAACAAAAAGGCAGCATTATAACAAAATAAGCCAAGCTACAAAAGGGGTCCGAGGTTGGGTAATTCTGACAGTTTTTAAGTGAATTCTGAATGTGGCTAAAGAGTTAAAGCCGTGTGTCTGTGTCGTGTATGCCAGGTGGTGTAGTGGTAGGCAATTGATTTAGCTGTAAGTGTGTTTCAAAAGTGTAAAAAATAAACTGAAAAACTCACTTGCACGGATTGAAGAGTCCAGAGATGACACATGTGAACGTAACACTGTAGTTTGTAGATCTTAAGCTGCTAATCGTTGAGAGAGATTTACATTTGTCTTGTCTGATTGTTGCAGATTTATCTGTGACACTTTTACTGTATATAAAAAAAAAATAAATAAAGACCTCAGCTATTAACACTGGATTAATTGGAATGTTTTCATGGGGCTGTGGGAGAGGAGTAAAGAAAAATAGGGGGTGGGGAGAGGGTGGAAAGTGCATTGAGCCCTAATAGCTCGAGTTTGATCGCGCCCTCCCCTATAAGAGCTTCAAGTTTGATCAAGTTCTCTTCTTACCAAGCTTCCATCCCACGGTGGGCCAGACCCACCTGCCTTGGTGAGAATGAAGGGGCCGTCCTGCACAGCACCGCCACGACTCCAGCAGTTCAGCACAGCTCAGCGCAGGCACCGCAGCTCCTGCGGGTACCAGACTGTATGTGTGTGTGCATGTGTGTGTGTCTGTATGTGTGTGCATGTGTGTGTGTATGTGTGTGCATGTGTGTGTCTGTATGTGTGTGTGTGTGCATGT